ATCGGCCGCGTCGGTGTTTCCGCGCGTCTGCGAGCGTGTGTACGTGTACGTACAGGCACTTGAGGTAAAAGACCGCCCGTTCCGGATACGACCAGGCCTTCGAGATCGAACCGCGCTCCTTCTGTAGTCACTTATCCAGGAATCGAAACCGTATTATTGCGCGCGGATTCAATTTTCGACGCTAAAGGTACGGCCAAGTGTACGGCATAATTCGCACTCGCAACCGTCCGCTGCTCCGTCAGGTATTGTCCGGCACGAGTGGCCGTGACGAAGCGAGGTATTTAGTTAACGTTAGGCCAACGCGCGGGAAATCCGGCGAGTTTCCGGCGACAAAATTAATAACCGGCACATCAGCCGCTCGGCTCTCGTGGCGGTTTAGCGCGCTGGTGATTAACGCGAATTTAAGGTATCCGGCGCGATTTCATTATTGGCAAAATCGTCACATTCCCCGATATGCATTTCGGAGAGCTTTTGATTGCGACGTTTTTTAATATACCCGATATACCCCTTAGAGTTTTTCAATTATTCCGCGCCCTGAGATGATTTCTCCCGGCGTCGAAAATTGAGCCCGTCGCGGCTAGACAATCGCTCTCGATTCCCGCAACTAGTCGCCCGAGATTAGTGATTAATCATGACAATGGTTACTAGCGACAATTATATGACGGCAGTGGCGGCGGCGGCGGCGGCGGCGGCGGCCGGTGGCGACGGCGGCGGCGGTGATGGTAGCGGCGGCTACTGTCGGTAGCGGCGGTTATATGGTTATACATGTAAGAACTACGGCGATAACGAATTTATAATTATATGTAAAAATTGTGTAATTGGAGGATTATAATCGTAATGATCGCAACACACAGATCATGCGCACACTAAACACGTATGTCCAAAACTAACCAAGCGAAACTAATGTGCGGCTGAATAAATTCTCACAAAAATAAAAGACCAAAAATTTGAAAAAAAAAAAAAAAACAGGAGGGAATTAAACAGATTCAAAGACAAGAGAGGAGAGAGAAATCATATATGCAATATCGCGCGAAATCAATTCAACTAAAAATAAAAACAGGAAAAAAAGAATAAAAAAATAAGAGAGAATTAAACTGCCTGTTGTTCTGTCGGTTGTTCGAGAGTTTGTCGTGCTCCCGTGCGTGCGGATTCTCTCTCGGAATTTGTCCCGTGATTTAATCCCGGAACCCAACTGCAGATAGGATAACTGTGGTATAATCATGTCCCAGAAGACAAACGTTTACAGTGAGATTGCTACTCTGTATCAATAATGTAACGAAATATTGTGAAAGAGGATAATACTGTTATCCGGTTCCTACATATATGAAACGTATTTATCGAATTACTCGTATAACAATTGAGAAGAATTCAAAGAAACAAAGATAAGGGAATTGTTTGCCGAATAAGAACTTTGCAAAAAAATGCTCGAATAGACGAATAGTAAAAATAAAAATGCGGCATTCAGTTTCAGCTCATCGGCATCGCGTATTTCGATTCCCGCGGAAAGTCCTGCAATGATATTTCACTTTTTTTTTTACAATGCAATGTAAAAATATAAAGACAGAAAGCTCGCGTCGCACGAGATACGACGATTTATTCGGCGTCGTATTCTAACGCGTGCAAATAAGAAGGAATCCCTGAAGTATAGAAAGACTTCGTTACTGTATTATCCTGGCGTTTCGTCATAGTCGCGCCTGCTTGTGGTGAATAGAGTCGGGTTCTAGGAGCAAGGATCCTGCGTGCGTGACGCGACTTCGCGAGGGGTTTGCAGGAGCTCGTGTGAAATTCCTCGGCTCGTGTTCGAGAGAGAGAGCACCGCACGAACGCGAGACACGTGCGTATGAGTGTCGACTCGTGTACGAAGAAGCTAAATGTCCCACGTTGCCTCTCGGGGCTTCGATAAAAACGGATTTTCTCTGTCGCAACAAGATTGGCAATAAGAATCGGCGAGTCATTAACGTTCATATGCGTGTGTAACATTGTTTATTTCTGTCTGATGATGACGATGGAGACTCGCGAGTACCGACCGGCGAGTTTCACCGGGCCGTCTCCTCTCTATCACTATATCCTTCTCTCTCTTGCTCACTATTCCGTTCGATCGTCCGTAAACGCGTTCATCGACGCTTTCTCTAGTAAAAATTAGAAAATTGTAAAAAATGGTGAAAAGAGCACCGTTCTAAAAGTACTTGCGAGACGCGGGTCAATCGGCGAACTCAGTAAACAGTACTCTAGCGCTCCGATCGTAAATATACTCAACGACAAGTACGATTATCACGTTCGCATTTGCGCGCGATTCAGGACTTCGCGATTCTAAACGAGTTCGTCTTTTCTCTCTCTCTCTCTTTCTCTCTCTCTCTCTCTCTCTCTCTCTCTCTCTCTCTCTCTCTCTCTCTCTCTCCATCTTTGTCTTTTTTATTTTTGTTTTTTCCATTTTGTTGTCCCTCGCTCTCTAAGAGCATCCGATACTTGGTCGCTGAACCTCGCGCGCGCACGAATAGTTGGCAATTTAGGGCAGTAGCACTCTTATAGTCTGTACGTTATGGTCTCACACGCTCGTGTTAAAACTTATATACGCTCCGAGAATACCGAAATACAGCGGCAACGCGCGCAATACGGCGTCGGTAGCGAGAACTAGACGTCTACTCGATCGGCAGATCGTTGCTTTACGACGCTCGTCGATCAACGTACATACAGGGAAGCACACATTTCGTTTCGTCTATCGTATACCGCTATCGTGTGTGTGTGTGTGTGTGTGTGTGTGTGTGTGTGTGTGTGTGTGTGTGTGTGTGTGTGTGTGTGTACTCTATACAAAAACTCGTAACCGCAAAGAGATTTATCGACGCATCGTCGTCGTGTGACTCGTCTACCTTTAACTTCGCTTGAAAAAAGACCGTTAGCTCCGGCTGGAAATCGTGAAACGATCGCAATGACAACGCGATCACAACGCGAGAGAAGCTACACGAAGGCAATTGGTGCGATACGTTATCGTGTTGGCCACGTCAAGTACTTTCTTTCCTTCTTCTTCTTCTTCTTCTCCTTCGTCTTCTTCCTTTTTGCTTTCTTGCACCACGCGATAGTGCGAGCGACGTGATCCTTGCGTGCTGCGGGTGCAGCACCCGCCTCTCACGCGAGGGTCACATCGAAAAGGTACAGCCTTATAAATTAACACACGACAGAAGAGTGAAAGAAAACGTACCAGTACGTTTACTAACAGTGAGCATTTAACAAACAATAAGTATAAATACACTTCGCTTCGCGATCTGTCGCACGCGCGCGCGCGCGCGCGCGCTCTCTCTCTCGTCCTTACACACAGGACCCACTTAAATGCTATCCTCCTCGTTTTACTGCGGAATGTACCGGTGAACGTGTCGATTAGCTCAGCTGTTCGTTTTGTTCGTTCGTTGTCGGTCGTTTACTACTAAATGGATACAAATGAACGACACAATGTGTTTGTGTATGTGTGTACGTATGTGAGTGTTGTGTGTGTGTGTGTGTGTGTGTGTGTGTGTGTGTAAATGTCCCGCGATAGAACCTTCGTCGTTGTGTCTCGTACGAATTCCGAAACGCACGCATTTCTTGGTCTCCGAGATTCGTCTAAGTAATTCGATTCAGATTCGAACGAAACACGCGAGTCGCAGCGAATCGCGAAAGAATGTGTGTTATATTAGTGGAGCGTGTCTCTTTCTTTTTTTTCTCTCTCTCTCTCTCTCTCTCTCTCTTTCTCTCTCATTTTCTCTCGTCCATCGTGGTGTCTCTCTTGTACTGTTGGCGAATTCGCCTCGCTTCCTATCGCGTGCGTTCACGACGGAGGGAAGATTAGCGCGAGGAGCAAATATCCCTGACGGCGACTCTAAATGGCTAGAGATAGGAGCAATACTGCTGTGGTAATGGCGGCCACGGCGATCTTGCAAGTATCACCAGCAGCAGATATTACTGTGTAGTCCACAGTGATGCCCGTAGATTCTGAATGATAAAAAGGCTCTGTGTAAAAAAAATCTTGCCCGATCGTAACGTCGGGTTTCGCGTCGCGTAAGACATTCTAACGCTCTACAAGCCCACCGAGACGGTCACCGGGGTAGCTTTAGCTTTAGTTGGTGTCTTGCGCAGGGTCAAGGGATCTGAGGGCTTCCTCCAATCCTGCCGTGCTGATTAACGCCAGAAAGGCGCCGGGGTTTCGTTACTTTTCCGAAAAATAACTTTCCGCATTTTTTTCTTTTGTTTTTGTTTCTGCGAGCGCGTGCGCGCGTATTAAGGCGAGAAGGTAAGAACCGTGGAAAAGTAGGAGAGGCTGCGCCCGAATGTTGATAATTTCGTCGACGTATCGTTCAATTTTCTGGAAAAAAATCTGAACCGTACGCAAAAGCAAAGATGCTGGACACAACTTGCACTTCTCGAGAAGCACGGATCGGTAAAATAGCAAACGATGGATTTTTTATACGACTTCTCGCGCGCTACGCTTCGCGCAATTTTGCGACCGAATATCGCCGATATCGGCCACATGTATCCGTGAAGCACACCGAATCAGTATAATCTCAAGAAAGTAAATAAAAAGATGGAAACATATACATAAAGCAAGCAAAGTAACACCACTCAGGCCCTTCTGATGTTAATAAGATCTCACGTCTCACAGTCGACCGAGAACCAATTGAAATTACCAAGGAAATCAACGAACCAAAGACACGGTTTAACAGATAGGCGAGGAAACGAAAGACCTCAAATAACCCTTTTCCCTCCTCCTCGAATGAACAAAAACAGGGACGAACTGACAAACGATTTGAAGATCGCGAAGAAAAAAAAAAAAAGATATATATCATTCGGTGCAGTAGCTTCGTGCACATATACATATATATATATATATGTATATATACATATATATCTCAAAAGGGATCAGATCTCGAGTAAAAATCATTGCGAAATGTAGGTACGTCATGACAGAATAATTACGTTGGGTCGAAGTAACATCGAAAGAATATATGGTTGCAGTTAGCGTGAGAACTCACCTCTAGCCGTCTTGAACCTGGCGAATGACGACTCGCTGAAGCCCATCACGTTGTGAGCCTGCAACTCGATTCTATAGATGGTGTCCGAGTTGAGGTCCCTCAGCCAGTGCCTGTTCCGGTCTTTGATTTCCGCCGTTCGGCAGGTTTCGTGCAACACCTCCCATTCGCCGACGACGCGTCTTATCTGGCAGTACTTCATCTGATACACGTCTATGGGCTCGCCGTTATCGGCCGGCGTGTTCCAGCCGACCTCGTACTGGTTATTGTACTGCGACACGTCGTATTCTTCGTTCGTCAACGGGACCAGGATCTTCGGCTGCTTCGGCACCGTCTTGCCGGGTGTAACCTCGTGATAATCGTTGCCCCAGTTACCCAGGCCGACGTCGTTCATTGCCGCGAACCGGAAGTCGTATGACGTCAGCGGCTTCAAGTTCTCGATCACGTACCGGCCAGGTGCAGAGTGAGCTGGTTGATAGCGGGATGATTCGATTAACGCGAGACGAAGAGTTTCGACTGGCTAGATGCTGAACGGCACGAAACGGTACGGAACTCTCTCGATTACTCGCATTTATTCGTTTTCTTTTTCTTTTTTTTTTTTTTTTTTCTTGAGAACAACGTACCAACGTAGTTCGCTACAGTCTACTTTCTTACGGCAGCGAATAAGCGTCGCGCCACGAATTTTCTCCCGGGCTCTTTATTTTTATTTTTTTCTAGTTCGTGCCGTTCTCATGAATAATCCCAAAGTCCCGTGTTCTCTTATCAACTGATCATCTACATATTCACGAATAAAAGGAAAAAGCTCGCAACAAGTGTCCTCGGGCGTATCTGGGTTAACTGACTCGCGTCGGATTAATTTGAATCAAGTAAGAAGATTAGCCGAAGTTAGTTACAACTCTCGAATACGCTTAAAGAAGTGAAATACGAAATTTCCTTCCCGTCCTTAGCCGGTTCTTGCCGGTTAGTCGAACGTTAAATTTCTCTTGTTTGCAATTCTTTCACTCGAAGCACTCCTTTGCATTCAATTTGGTATTCAAGAGCGCCTGCCACCTTCTCTCCTCTACTTTGAATTACTCAACAAGGAAGAGACTAGACTAAACTCACCGACGCTCCACGTCATGTTCCTCGCCTGCGTCCAGATCTCACGGTCGTCCTTGTACTGGACGGTGATGGCGGTCACGGGTAGATCCGGATGCTGCGGCGGCACCAGGGCGAAAGCTATCGTCGTCGCGCTGATCTCGGTCATCTTCACATCCAGCAGGTAGCCAGGCCTCTTCGCCTCCCTCAGCTCGATTATATGCTCGCGTGTGCCGTGGAGGTTCACGGCGATGCACTTGTAGTTGGTGTAGTATCTGGTGTTGGTCGGTGTGACCTGCAGAATGGAGATGGGTCCGTTGCCGATCTGCTTCATCATCGGAAGGCTTTTGATTTCCTGGTCGCCATATAGCGTCCAACGTATCGTCGCGTTCGGTATGCTCTCGGCGATGCAGGTGAGATTTACCGGCCGCTTGTCCCACGACCAAACCGTGACATTCGACATCGAACGGAAAGACGGTGGATATTCGACGGTGAGGTGGCCGTTCCTGTGGGCGTAGCCGCCGCGGTTCTTCGCCACACACTCGTACAGGCCGTCATCTGACGTGAGAGCGTTCATGATCGTCAAGTTGCCGACGGTCTCGCCGTTCACATCGTCTGCCTTGTTTATCACGATGATTCTGTCGTCGTTCGGCTGAGGTCCCATTACGTAATGCTTCTCGAGCGTGAGCTTCCTGAAGCTCACGTCGGGCGGCGGTCGGCCGAAGGCCTTGCACATTATGTTCACCGGTTTGTTCTCCACCACGGTCTCGTTCATGAACTCCATGATCTTTGGCTTGACGATCACGTTCACCAGGATGTTCATGGTGGCGATGCCGGCGGGATTCGTCGCCGTGCATTCGTATTCGCCCGCGTCCTCGCGCTTCACCTCGCTGATGCTGAGCACGCCATTGTACGGATCGACGCTGAAGCGGTCAACGTTGGACAGGTTCGTATGGGTGAGCGACTTGATCCAGCTCAGTATTGGCGGCGGTTTGCCGCTGGCCTTGCACAAAATGCTGCCAGGCTCTCCCTCGGTGATCTCGATCGGGCCCGAGATCTCCTCGATCGAGGGTCTCGTGTACACCTGCGGCAGCGAGCACACAGATGGAAAGATTGTTAGGGAAACTCGAGAAAGACACGGCTCGGGGAATTGCATCTGGGATTTTCAGTCAAGATCTCGAAAAGTTGACAACGAATCACGGAAATATAGCGATCAAACAAACGATAAGACACTTCATTAGTATAATAGAAAACCGGCAGTTGAAGCAGGATATTAATAATTGATAGCCACAATCATCCGAGTATTACCAAGGTTATTTTTTTGTCCCTGTTTTAATTTAGCGTTATTTTTCTTCTTCTTCTTCTTCTTCTTCTACAAGGTATTCTATGCAATCGTGACGTTAATAACAGTACCTCAACTTTGATCGGTCGCTCCCGCAATTCTCCCGTGGTCTGCACCGACGCTCGGCAAGTGTACACGCCGTCATCGGATTCCTGAACATTCCTGATTGTCAGGGCGAATTTTTCGATGATGTAACGATCGTTGGTCCTGATCAGCTCGCCGTTGTAGAGCCAGTCGACCACGGGTGCAGGCCTAGCGCGCACTTTACATCTAATGGGGAAGTCCTCTCCGAGGATAGGATGCTGATCCAGTGGTGCGTTCTCCCAAGTGATCGCGACTGTCAACGACAGATATTGAATGCTTGTTGAACATTGTTGTGATCGTTGTTGAAGTTCACCCCGATCTTTCACGATCTCCGACGTTCCGAATTGCCGGCGTTATTTAATTCGTCGATTCAAGATCAAATTAAGACGTCTACTGTTCGCGCGCGGTTTCTCTGCTCCTCGAGAAGCTGTCAGTTTAATCGCGCGTTGTGTTGTTTAGAAATTACGCGTGGTCTTGGATAAAGTTTTAATGAAACGATCGCGTACGAAAGAGACTCTAATGAGAAAGTTGCTCGCCGTGGCTCGAGATCTTTGGATGTCTTCCATCATTTCAGTGAGATTAATTGAACATCATACTTTAGCGGAGGGGGGGGGGGATAATGCTTCATCGTATACTGTATCTCGAATAATTTCTCTCGAGGGATCGCGCCGCGGGACTCTTTCTCGATCATCATATCCTTCCAATTATTCTCCACTCACTGATAGTCTCGATCGTGATAGACTTGCTCATCACCACGTTACTCGCGTAAGTCCCAATGCAGGAGTACTTCCCGGCCTGATTCTCGTCGAGGGAGTTGAAGAACAGGGCCAGGCTGCCGTCCGGGTACTTCTCGGTGTACATTGTCGTCTTCGGCTGTCCCGTGTGCGAGCTGCGAAGAATATCGTCCAGGTTTGCGAGACAATTCGCGCGATTCGGCCGAAGACACAAATTGATGGTGGCGATGGAATGACACCGCATGGTGGCGATATCGCGACGCACGTTCTTCGCGGGGTGATAACGGGGTGATAACGCGAGGATGATGCGTCGGCGAGATGCATTCATGCATCGTGGCCTCGTATTATTCGATATGTACGTGTGCTATGTATGGCGTTGCGTATCGGTGGATGATGCTAGCACACGTGTATGACGATGTGATGCATTCAAGCAATTTCCACGTAGTGCGTCGAGCGACGAGATGCCGGATGTAATATCGCGTGACACCGACGATGAAGGTTGCCAAGTATATAGGTTTTCGGATTACGGGGGTGGCTCAAAGTGACAGGGTTAAAAGCAGCGCGGCTGCTCCGCGGAGAGACGATATAAAAACGCTCGCGCTATTTATGACGCGGGATTTCATCAACGATGTCTTCGAACTTCTCCGATATGGATGACTGTAGTCTCCATCAGCGATCACGTTTCCGTATTTTGTCGTCAATCGAGCGATTGGATGATTTCTCGTCTCACCGAATGAATTTTTCGTCTCTCGCCATCGAGATGACGATGAGAGAGCGAAGGGTGTCGAATACATAATTGCAACATCGTGACACAATTGGGACTGATCGTCGTGGAGCAGCCGAGCATACATGTGGGGTGCACGCAGGTGGTGGTGCAAGCAACAAACGACGAGAGAGGATACAGATTACAGAGGGGAGGTGGATTTTCGGAAGGAGGATCACAATAGCGTCGTGGTAGTCTGCCGGTCGCGCGTAATGTTACGAGACGAGAGAGGCCGGGAAGAATTCGCGCACGAATTTGTCCGTGAGCGTGAACGGAACGAATGTTCTCCGGCGCGCGCAATTTATCTTCGAAATATCGCTTTTTGCAGCGGCCTGTATTTGACGCGGCGCCGACACCCATTGAGAATGTAATTGAGTGGCGTAATTGCTCGAAACGCGGCGCGCGATTTTGCACAGGAATGTCACACGCGCCGCTTTCGACGACGAATGCACTTAATTATGCAAATTGCACAGGATTCGAGTAATCGCCAACACGCGACCCGATGAATCAGTTAGCGGGGTTAACGTTCGTTAGATTATTCGATCGCCGGATTAAATACTTCCAGCACGCCGGACGACGCGCAATACGCGCATCAGCTATTCGCCGTTCGTCATATATGTATATATATATATATATATACATATAGAGAGAGAGAGCGCGATGTCGGACAGACTTACACGAGCGAAGACATGAACGTTGCGAAAATGACGTGGAAACAGTGTTTGCGAGTGTGTAGAGAACCGCGCCGCCCCGGAGCCGCTTAATTACCGAGCGTACACACACACACACACACACACACACACGCACATACGGAGTGTCTCAGAAACGTCGCGCTTTATTTCCAACTTAGCGATAGCGAGCGGATTCTGACTTCGCGGATTCAAGATTCTCGAGCGTTCCGCAAGCGGAATTTCCAACGAGCATGGTCTTCGTTCTTCGGCTAACTGCACGTAGCTAAAGCAGAAATCGGCTCTCGCGCGTTCGATGTTCACGTGCCACAAAAGATCGAATGAGATTGCATATTTACGCGCAACCGCGACTCAGCTTCAGCCGGAGCCAAGTTAATTTCGAAAGCGATACCTCTCCGGTCGGCCATTTCGTATTCACGAACGAAACATTCGCTCGCAGTACGAAACAGGCGCAATCCTTTCTTTTTGTAGCCGGCCGATGAGTTTCCTCGCTTCGCCGCGCGTTCAATAAGTCAGTTCGGATACAGCGGAGCAGCCGGAACTTTTCCGAACGGCTTAACGAGCGATAGCCAGTTGCAGCGCGAATTGCGATCGGTTCGCGCTGCAGTAATTAAGAGCTCCGGCGAGCAGACTGCGGGAAACGTGGCTATACCGTGGGAAAATGATCGTGTCGAGCCCGAGGTGAAGTGACGAGGTGTGAGCGCATCGCGAATGAGGGAGATGGGGAAGGAAACAGCAGCGCACACGCACACTACTACGGAAAAATTAAATAAACGATCGCATGTAGAGTGAGTTTTTCAACGGGTTTTATACTCGCCTTTTGAGCGGCAAAACAAGGAGACTGTGTGTGCGGTAAAAGTGACAGAAATTCCTTCAATTAGTGCTGGTATACAGTCTCTCTCATCTGCGATATGATCGCGATATCTCTCTCTCTACCGCCGAGCCTACAATGCTCTTAATTAACGTTATTTATACTCTTTCTCTCTCTCTCTCTCTCTCTCTCTCTCTCTCTCTCTCTCTCTCTCTCTCTCTCTCTCTCTCTCTCTCTCTCTCTCTTCTCTCTCTCTCTCTCTCTCTCTCTCTCTATCGAAATCAAATCTCTAAAGATTTTTATTTTATCATTGTTGATCGGAAACACTAAAATACTACAAGTTATAGTTACTGTTCTATGAGATATACACTCTAACATCACAGTCAAATAGAACGAATTATTTGCCTAATCTCTGAGTTTACGTTCTCAGCGGCATTTTTTTCTGACAAATTCTACACCGCGACTCGTGCGATAATATCTATGATAATGAAGAAAAGAAAAGAAAAAAAAAAAAAAAGAAAAGGATTCGTTATTTTCGCAGTTGCTCATCTAACGCGAGTGTTCTTCGCCAAAAGGACGACTGCAGGATCGTAGCCGACCAACAGTACAGTGATTCTCGTTCCCGATGAATTAACCAGTCGCGATCAGCTGTCATGTTTTCACGGGCACCAATTAGAATATAGATAGGGGAATGTAAAGGCAAGCGCGGCCTGATTGGCGCGACCGTTCCTGCATCGTCTCGGAAATGCAATTTGTAGGCAAAAGGACAAGAAGAGATCAGCGGTCGCGATAGTCAACTTACTTGAGGGGCTCGATCGTTTGATTATGTGTGTCGAGCCAATGCATATTGTCGATGAGGTCAGGTTGGTCCACGTGAGGCTTGCACGTGAGGATGATGCTGGAGCCGATTGGTTTCGACTGCGTCTCGCCGCTCGGCAGGATCTCCAAGTGGGGGTCTATCGCGTCCGCGTAAGCTGCAAGAAGCAAAGCCAAGAACGTGGCCGGTCATTACGCTGTCAAGAGCACGGGCACAAGTATGTGTGTGTGTGTGTATGTGTGTACGTGTGTGCACGCACGCGTGAGCGAGCGTGTGTAATAAGTGCGATCGCAGCAACTGCGTAAGACAGCGAAAACATCGGGCCCTGGTAGGACGAGCAGAGTGATTGCACGTAATCCGCCGATAATGATACGATTACGAGGCACTCTGCGGAGGATCGCTTATTTTTGCAGACGTCGCGAACAAGCGACGTCCCTCTCTTAACGCGATACACCGGCGGCGAGCGTGTGCGCGCCAGCGAGAGAAAAGTGCGAGCGCCTCGCTCGGCGTTCCTTCCAATTTTCAACGGTATTTACCACCTCAAGCACCTCGCCTCGGAGCAGCAATTTCTCTCGTTTACAGGCGAGGCACACCGCTTTAAATTCCTACGATCTTTGTTGATTCCATTTGCACGCAACGCCTTTGATTTATTATCGCAATCACTCATTCATCCGGGGGAACTTTTCGAACGCAGAAGCAAATGAAAACCTCCGGCTTTCTCACTTCCTTTTCACGTCCTCCGTTGTAATTTTGCACGAAAGTATTTTACCGAGAGGAAAGGAAAATTCCAAGGATACCCGCGGGCATTTAATAAAAAAGAAAAAAATAATAAAATTAAAAATTTAAAAATATACTCAAATGAAACGATAAAAAAGAAATGATAAAAAATATACTCCCGCATATGTCACGTATTGAAACTTCCAAGACATTTTTTCCCGAGTCTCTCGCGATAAAAATTCAATTCATAGAGGATTCAACGAACGGAGAAAAAAATGTTTAACGCAACTAAACAACCGTCTCATTAGTCACTATTGAAGAACCCTCTCAGAAGGAATCAACCCGTTACGGCCTTACCCACGCTAGTGGAACGAACTGACGTCGTTTCCGAAGGTTGCGATGGGGGTAGCGACGGCGACGGCGACGGCGACGACGAGGGCGAGGGCGACGGCGACGGCGGCGGCGACGGCGGCGGCGACGGCGCCGTCATCACGTAAATGCACAGCACCGAGAGGCAGATCGTCGTCGTCTCGGCGTTCATAGCCGCGTCTCATGTGTGTGTAGCTGAAAACGCCTTCGACTACGAGAGTACGTGCTCGCTCGTTCGCGTAGATGCGTCAACTATGACGACGGAATGCCTGCGTCGCCGGAATGCGTGCGGTGCGCAATGGGTGCCCGATGCCGTCAGGCGGCGTCGGGCACAACAGGAAGCGGGAATTGAGCTAATTAATTGCGGCGAGCGAAAGTGCGGAATTGCCCTAACTGGGAAACGCTCCGTAACCTCCACCTCCAACACCTCCGCCTCCTCCTCTCCTCTTCTCGTTGCGGCGTCATCCGGACGCTGCGAGTTACACCGGCGGCGCAATGCGGAATGCACCCCGTTCACTCTCTTTCTCCCGCTCTCTCGTCTCTTCTCCACTTCTCTCTCTCTCTCTCTCTCTCTCTCTCTTTTTTTCTCTACGTACCGACTCCGCAAACTCATTAGCTCGTTAACTTGGCGCACGTAAGCCCGAGCTACCTGACGAATGGAAGTAACGGCACAACGAGGGAATCATTACCGAATTTACGGCGAGCCAGCTGCCGCAACTGGAGCTACTCGTTAAGTCCGCGAGAATTTCTCTCTAGGCGAATTGCGCGTTCGCGAACGCGCACGGAGAAGCTCCGATTTACGATTGGACGCGGTTAATTACAGAGGGGGCAGGCGAGGTTTATACCCGGGATAAGTGACCACATCGCAAATGGTTGGTCTATTTGCCTGTTTCGCGCAGATTGAGCGGAGCGATAATAGGTTTACATTCGTTTTGCATCGACGGCCGATCGCTCTCTGCGCGCCCATTCGTTTGCACGCATTCACGTGCGTACACGCATACGCACGCACGCACGTCCGAACGGTCATCGTCGCGAACGCTTCGCAGTGTGCATGAGAGAAAAACCGAGCGGCCAGTTCGAGAAAAATCTGGAATCGGGAACAATGCGATGAGGGAGCCGTGTAATCGAAATACAGAATCGAGGCCAGCTCGCCTAAATGATTTTTTTTTCACGCGGTACATGACGCGCCGCGCGGCTCTTGTAACAATTGATTTCGCAAATACTGAAACCGCCGCCGCGGTGGATACTGCGAAAATAATTGAATGTGGATCAAAAAAAAGCGAGCCCGTGAGCTGGAGATGGGGATGGGGATACGCCGTTGGTGCGAGCGAGCGAGCGAGCGAGCGAGGAAACGAACGACTCGCGTGTGACGCAGGTCGGCGCGTCTGACGTAATCGACAATGGCACGAAAATTGAAACCGCCGTAAATTGTCGGCGGAAAAAAGTTGTCCTTCCTCTGGTTCTCGCCTCGCGGAAAGCTTCCACGCGCAACCTGCTATTGCTGAATATTGCGTGAGTGACATCAACGGCCGAGAGCGGGAATTTTCGTGCGAAATTTAAGGAGTTTATCCGGGGAACTCTGCAACGCGTATATATTTTAATCGAGCGCTCCTCATTTTTCCGCTCGCCACCTGTTAAACTTATTACCGATGTGACCCGATTTTCCAATCATATTTTTGCACATTTCGCATAATTACACATTTTCGAGATGTAATATATCGCACAATTTTCGAGTTGCTGGTCTCTCTGCATTTTACCGGGCGTTTCACGCCGTGTTAATACTCGATGAAATTGTTAAAAATCCGACTGGATAATTTCGTATTCTTTCTCTCGGTATCATCGTTCTCTCCTCCTGAGGTTGTTATTATCAGTAATTGTATCGCGAAGATCCAAATTACGCCGTGAAATTTCACACAAAGCTAATTCACCGACGTTATTGTGAATTTTGTTACGGCGCATTTTCCTCTCCTCGGGAATTTATCGCAAATTTTCCTCCAGACCATTCACCATTTATCAGTATGATTTAATTATTTTCTCCGCTATTGTTTAAATAAATGTCAAGACAGCGCGCAGTCGCGACGGAATCTCCGCAAAAGGATTATTTCATTCACATTCGCGGTTAATGCAAATGCATTGAAACGAGGACCCGTTAATTTCTGTAATAGCTCGTGCAAGGACGCGGAAAGGTTACAAACCTTCTCGTAACGGAGGAACTTCCTTAATTGGCCTAAGACTCATCGAGATGAGTTCTTGCGTGCGGTCAATTAAAGGATTTCGCCCGCGCGCCGCTTCGCTCCGGGCGAGCGAGCGCGCGCGCGCTCGCGAGACCGGGGGAACTTTAAGCTGCTTTTGCGACATCTTCGGCCTTTCTAGCAGAGTCGAGGCGACTTACCAGACTTCACACAGTGGAAAACGACAATTATCAGTCGAGCGTACTTAGTATCGCGGCGCGTAACTTTTCCAAAGCCACTGCCTCCCTTGTCAAATTTGCATTGCCGCTCGTTAATCCCGGGAACCACTCTGGATTGGATCTTTTCTTTTTTTTTTTTCAACAACTTGTTTATCGCAAGTTTAGCTCGTCGAATGACGATTGAAGTCCACACGTGTACAAGAGAAAAACGGAGGTTGTAATTTATGTAATGAGACGGAAGGAAAACGCCCAATTATATCATATATCCTTTTTAGGGAGACTTCAGCTTCTCGGCTTTCGCCAGCGATTCTCAGGCAAGGCACGGATTCTGCAACGGACAATCCGATGTACATCCGAGCCGAATCAATTCCCGGCTAATGACGCGTTTATTCGCCGTTAGATCGGGCCATTAGTCACGATGCAACGAGCCGCGTAAGACTTTCGACTGAATCGCCGGCACGCCAGACGACATTTACATCCCCGGCGCCGCTCCACCTCGTTTTCGCGAATATTCATACGCAAAACGCCGAGCTTACAGATTGCGACAAGTTTCACGAACAGGCGCACATTCGAGTTCAAGTATCTATGAAGTGGATCGCGATAAGACACTGCAACGTTCGCTCAGCGCCGCTGGCAATTGCATCGCAAAGTTTGCTTAAACTTAGGCTGCTTCTCGCCTGCGTGAACGGCGAGAGCGTTAAATCCTCGTAGTCTTCCGACGCTAATTGTCTCCGACCGTCTCGTCCATTACGCGTACAATAGTCACAATCAAGTCGTTTTGATCAACGACTCTCAACGGCCCTCAATTTTCCTTTTCGTTGTTTCACCCGCTATTAGCCCCCTCCCCTCTCCGCGGATGTCAAAGAACGCGACTTCTATAATCTACCGATCGAATTATAAATCTCCAATTTTTATACGCGCAGGACAGCGAGGTCCTGTTTTGATCCTGTTGAGCGGACGCACGTGGATCACGTGCGCGGGCTTCCTTTTTCGATATCTCCTTTCGAAGCTTCGCGAAGGGATTCGCAACTTCTCGCGATTTCTCGGCGATGTCCGATGCAACGATGTAGAAATAAAGAGGAATTGATCGGAAAAAACTCCACAGGACGAGAACAAGTGACGCATATCTCTCTCTCTCTCTCTCTCTCTCTCTCTCTCTCATTTCTTCTCGAGACGCGAGGTCGTTCGCGAGGGTCGAGTCTAATTTTGCTCTCACGAGTTCCGTCATTTCCGATAAGAGATTTCGTAATCAAGCGAGGGTGGCTCCGTAAGGATTACGTCCCCGGGAGTATTGTCTCGTGTCCGTAAGGACAGCTTATTTATTCGTCGCTCTCGCACTGTCACGAGAGAGGACGTCGTCTCGTCCTCGCGATAAGACTCGCAAATTCATCATTTCCGGCTCGCTTAGGCGAAGAGGCACGCGCGCGCGCCGCAGCTGGGGCGAATTAGAGATTTTCCTACGGTCGTTCGGCCGCCCCGAAATATGTCTCAGGAGGGGGCGAGCGAGCAGACGGTCGTTCCTCGAACAATAGCAGAACATAAATCGCAATTATGTTTCCGGTGGAATGAATTTATTCGATACTATCTGTCGCCGTCGAGTTGGCTCGTCGACGATAACCGAGTGCCTCCGATCGAGCTACGCGAGTCCCGTCGCGTGAGAC